CCACAGCCATTGATTACTTCGCTGTTTTCAGGGCTCGGGAAGGGTTAGTAGAGTTGCATCTTTAAGGAGGAGGCAGTGTAACGCACAGAGCGCGCGGTTGCTGCTTAGTGGGTAGGGGCCACATGCTTAGTGCTCAGCCGGAAAAAAACAGGAGAAGGTCTGTTTCTGACCAATGTGACCTCACCGCAATCAGTGGTTGCAAAGTCACTATTTTAGGTCTCCTTTTGGCTGCTACATATAAAGGGCCAGTTATTGGGGATGCTCATGGAAGCAATCCTGCCATTTGGACAGTTTGACAAGAAAATCACCGAAAGAAGGGTCTTCAGCTGGGGAAAAAGAGATATCTCATGCCTTGTGTCTGACAGCGTCTGTCCCTTGAACAAATGAGGATGTTTGTGGGACACTGAAGAAAAGGACTAGTTTCTCCAGTAATACAAAGGGCTTTCCAGTTCTCAGTTACCCCCCCCGGACTGAATACTGGAGTGGATACTGCACCCACTCAATCCCATAACTGAAGGACATTGCATTAGTAAACAGTGTCCCACTTATTTCACCCATGAAGCCACTGTATCCTCAGAAATAAATATTGCTGCACCTTCCCCTTTGCTTCCCTGCCTTTAGGACAGGGCAGACAAATATTACTTGGCATTTCCAGAGCACCTCTCCTCTCAACCTCGCTCGTGCAAAGGGGAAACTCATTTCTGATTGTGCCTCAAATTACTGGGCGTGTGCATGAGGCATCGAATCACATAGGCAGAGAAAAAGGCTCAGTTTGAGCGCAGGTTATCATTCAGTTTCTTCAGGCTTTAGGTCTGGCTCAGGTTATTTTTGTCTGGAGCTGAACTCGGTTTACTCTCTGGAATAATTGCACTACTTTACCGAGAGAGACACAAACAGCAGTGTAAGGTGCTACTCCTAAAATTACTGCTGCAGTCCTCACCAGAGGCGGCTGCGCTTTGGTGTGATACGAGGCGAGTAAACACATTAACTAGTACAGGCCAGGTAGTGTGCACTGCAACCCCTCTCCCCCGACCTGATCTTCCTTTGTGTTCATCATAATAGTTTGGAGGATTAAAAAGAAAAA